AAAGTGGGATCCAACTGCTGGTTGAGGTGGGTCTAAGTAGTTTTGCATTCTCTCAAGTGAGAAGTTACAATATAAAAATGATGGGCCGAAACCATTGAGGTGTGAATGAGAATTGTCTCATAAAGTGGACATCAATAAAAGTTGGGCTTAGATTTGGACTTAATCTTAGTTTAGACTGGGCCTAGACTTGTACTTGTGCTTGTGCATGTGTTGGGTTTGGTCTTAGACTTAGACTTGGACTTAATCTTAAGCTTGAGCTAAGTTATGTTGTGTTGGGCTTAGCTTGTACATGTGTTTGAGAATTGAGTTTGGATCGAGTTGTGACCCAACATTGGTATCCATTGTATGACCCATCTAGTTGGTTTATTCAAACATCATTATATACATATTTATTTGTATATATTAAGCACATGGAAGGTTAAGACCTTTGTTACTCTCATCTTTTTATGATGGAGTTGATGACCATATTAGTGGCCATAGGTTTTCAACTTTTGTAACTCCAGCCCTAATGGCTAGAATTGATGGCCATGGTTAATGGCATTTGATGAGCCTATTGATGTATAGCCTTTATGGCTAGGGATTCCCCTACTTGTATAAATAGAGGCCTTTCCTCTCCAACTTAAAAGATATAAGTTTTGAGAGTTTTTTTTATGGAAAATAGAGATGGTGTTTTGATAAAGAGTTGGAGATGGTTTTACACCAAAGAAAATTTTCCTATCTTCTTTTGCTAGTCCCTTCTTTGATTCTTGTTAGAGAGAGTGCAACCATTATCAAGTTTGCCGAAGCTATTCAGAAGGTGTTTCTGCATTAGCTAGTTTTGACCGTCGTATCCTGCGAGACAGAAGTTGACATACCTCCAGCACCCATGGTGAAGCGGCTAATCTGTTTTAAGGACACTGTGGTATCACACAGGCTTCGGTTTGCTTCCTACTACTAGTTTTATTTTATTATGAATTTCTGTAAATTTTAATATGTTCTTATTCTGAAATTCAAAGTAGTTGTTCAATATGAATCTATTTATTTGATTTAAGTACACAATTTCACAACAAGAACATGATTAACTAGGTTTTTTTTACTCAAATTGACTAAGAATCTAAGAACATTCACAGCAATGGTACCAAAATTAATATTGAAACCTAAATTGAAAGCAAAAGCATATGATTAACTAGGGTTTTTCACTCAAATTGATTCAGAATCTAAGAATAATCACAACAATGATACCAAAATCAACATTCGAATCTAAATTGGAAGTAAGAGAATATGATTAATTAGGGTTTTTCACTCAAATTGATTCAGAATCTGACAATATTCACAGCAATTGTACCAAAATCAACCATGAAACCTAAACTAAAAGCTTGAGGACATGATATTGTTTTGTAACAAGCATATATAAGTTTTCCTATTAAAATGTTTGTAACTTGTTTATATTTATGTACATAGTTTATGTATAAATTAAACTATCAGTTTAATTTTTTTGGAGTTTTAATTTTATAATTTTACATGCTTATGGAAGTTACAAATTAAGAGTTTACTATTTTCTATGCACATGTATTTGCACAGTTTCTTTAGGCTGCCTTTGATGACTAGATCTCTAGCATATTTGGATAATCTGATTATATGAGTACTAATTTAGTTTTGTATCTTAGCATGCTCATGATTAATAACTTTATAATAAAATTTGCATGTTCAAAATTCCTGGATTTTAATTTTTATTACATGCTTATTGTTTCTAGAGTTATGTGTATGATATTTACATATTAATTGTCCATAAAGTTTTAATTTAATTTAGGAGTTACATATTTTAATTTAAAGTTTTAATTTAATTATGGAGTTAGAAACTTTATTTTAAAAGTTTCAATTTAATATTTAGAGTTATAAAGTTTGTAATTTGTTTAGGTGAGTTAAATTTTGAATTGAATTTATTTATTTGGAGTTATATGTCTAAATGGTTATTGTGAATTAAGTTCATTCATAACTCATGGCTATTAACTTTTAAATTAATTGTGAAGTTACATATATTTAGTTAGGTAACTCATCTAGCATTTTAATTCATTGGTTAATTTGATTATTCAATAGTTGGCTAGATGGTTTCAATTAATTTAGTACATTTACATTTTGTTTAGATTGTTTGGTTTGTATTTTCTTGTGTTTTCTGGTAACTTTCTTTACAGGAATTCTTATGCGAAAGGAAATGGAAAAAAAATACAAAACCAAATGAATAGTATTTGGGGTGTCAAAACAAAAAGTCTGGACGACTAACCTTTGTGATGAACAAGAATTTCTAAGCATGGAAAAGTTTTTGGACTAAATAGAATCCTGATGGATTGGCTATTTTATTTAAATGGTTGAAGCATTTTTTGCTTGCGATTTAGTTGGTTTGTTTACCAATTTGTAGTAGCAAGTTTTATTTCCTTGTATTATTAGAAGCATTTTATATGCATGTATTTGATTGTAGTAATTTTTAAATTGCTTGTAAGTTTGGAACTGGGTTTGGTTTTCTATAATAGAAACCAATGTGTTTAGCCTTAGCCAAAGAGTAGTTCTTATTTGTTCAGAAATGACAACTAAGATGGATTTAGTTTCAAACCTTTGGGGTTTGAGGAAGCCTTTGGGTTTAATCATTTTATTCCCAAAGTGTTGAAAAACCAAGTTTGGAGAAAGTCTTTAGTTATAATCTAATTATTTCCAAAGTATTTTGGTTTGAAAAAAGAAACCAAATTTTAGCATTAGCTAAAATATTTTTGAGTTTATTCAAAAATAATGGGCTTAGTTCCGGGAGTACCAGTTAACTTTTATGAGTGGTATAATTCTGGTAGCAAATTTTATTTGCTTGGGAATTGGTTTGTTATAACCTATAACCTGATTTATCCCCTGAAAAACTTAATTTTAAATTTGTTTCCCATGGACTAGGAGTCAACATGCTCTTGAAAGTTTTGTCAAAAGGTTAACTGGGTTTCAAGTGGGACCGATGTGACCCCTCCAGTCTTCCTAGGAACATTCTTGACCATGTTCGATTATAGGTTAAAGTGGTAAGACTAATTTTGAATTAAATTTCCAACTGTGGATTTTCTAGTGTTAAGTTTAGTTTATGGAAAAAACAAAATAATGAAATTCTGCTGTGATTTTTCAGAAATGACTTCAAGAGGTGACAGCATAAATGTTGCTTCACCTGACAACGTTAAGGCTTGCGAGATTCTTAAAAGAAGATATAGAGAAGTGTGATTAAAGGAAATCATAAGATTGCATGATAACATATCTTAATTAATCAGAGGCAATTAGTATGTTATTCTTGTGTCAATTATAGCATATATGATTGCTATGTGACTTTGCTTGAAAGCAAAGATGAGACAATCCGTTAGGGTGGGTGAATATATTTTTGAATTTTTAAATTCCAAATATATTCTTAAATTGGTGGCTCCTAGTGAGTATAAGATCACGGATCACAGAGATAGAAAACTGGTGGTTCCTAGGAGGTGTTAGACCACTAGTTACACAGTTATGAGATTGTGGTTCCTAGCAGTGAACAGATTACTGATCACATGTCAAGACATGATGGTTCCTAGTAGTAGAGAGGCTACTGACCATATGTCAAGACATGTTGATTCCGAGTAATGAAAGAGTCTATTGATCCTATGTTAGGACGTTGTGATTCCTAGTAGTAAAGTGACTACTGATCACAGGTTAAGAATTGTAATTCCTAGTAGTAAAAAGTCTACTGACCACATGCTAAGAAATTAGTGATTCCTAGTGATAAGACTACTGGCCATGTTATGAAGTTCTGAGTAGTAGACTATTGAACACTGGATTTGTGTTTCCTAGTAGTTAGACTATTGGCTTCAGAGTGATAGGTTGGACCAAATATGTTTGGGTGCCTAATTCAGTTGATGACAGTCTGGGAATGTATTTACTGTGATATG